AAATACTCATATCAGGGTTTTTTGCGGTAGTAAGATCTACAAAGTAGATGCCATTGGTTGGGGAATGGCTAAACAAACTATGGTAAGTGAATATAAATGAAACGAAATATAAAGAAGGAAAAAGCTTATTTGGACTTGAAATTGATCACATATACTAGTTTCATATTAATATATAATCACTAGTAACTTTATTAACAAATGTGAAAGGAAACTTTTAGTGAATAATGAAAGGGACTTGGAGTCAGAAAGAACTGGACGCAAATCCCTCTTTAGACACATACTAGTTGTGTGACCCTGGGTAAATCATTTAATCTCTGGCAGCCTCAGTTTCCTCATCTGTAAAATAAGGATAAAAGTAGTACTTACTTCACAGGGTTGATGTGAGGATCAAATGAGATAATGTATATCAAATAGAGAAATAAGACCTATTATTATCAATCATATAACTGTAATTGGCTGAGGAATTAGCATTTATGTTGTATTGGGGAAATACAGCGATCTATGAATTAGGAAACCAGTTCTAGGTGATGCTCGGTTAAAAGCTAGTTGTATTACCTTAGGCATAAGTCATATTTCCTTTCTGGAATTGAGTTTTCCCATTCCATCCCATCCTGTCATATAGCAGCAGAATGAGAAAAATTATATACACTACTACAATGTAAACAGAAGGAACAAAACCTCAAACTGAATGCTGTGAAATTATAATGACTTAAGTTTTGTTGGCATAGTTAAGAAAATGCACCTCCTTCCTTTTCTTTGCAGAGGTGATGTACTATGAATATGGAATATTACATTTCTTGTAAGATGTAATAGTAAATCTGTTGCTTGGTTTTTCTAATTGGATTCCACCTGCCTTTTGATGGCTAGAAATGAAGGTAATATAAAAACAAAATATAAAAAAATAACTACTTATATCCTTCATCCACTTATCTACTAGGGAATGGCTCTTACTGTTATATATTTGTATAAACTCCCTCTATGTTTTGGATAGACTTTTGTTTACAACATTGAATGCAAATATTTTTTTCTCCTACTCTACTATTTGTCTTCTAACACTATTAATTTTTTTAAGGATCATGCTTTTCAAGTATATAATAACCAGGGACCCGAATTCAGAAATATTTTCCAATCTTGCTTACACTGCTTGCTCCAAGGGTAGGGTCCCAGGATCCCTTCTACTGACAACTGCCTCATAAAGCCAAAGAGAATCAATCCACAGGCATCTGTTTATTAGGTTAAGACTATTTGGAAGGTGTTTTGAAACTCCTCAAGTTTAATGACATTAAATGAAAGTGTACTGAATAACCAACTATTCAAATGCCTAAAAAAAGGATCGCTCGTGGGGGTTCTGGGGCAGCTAGGTGGTGCAATGGATAGAGCACTGGGCTTGGAATCAAGAAGACTCACCCAGCCAGAGACACTTACTAGCTATGTGACCCTGGTCAAGTCCCTTTGCCTCTGTTCCTCATTTGAGAAATAAGCTGGAGAAGTAAATGGCAAAACACTCTAGTATCTTTGCCAAGAAAACCCCAAATGGGGTCACGAAGAGTTAGACATGTCTGAACAAAGACTCATCACACATGATGATTCTACAAACTAGGAATTAGAGACAGGTGCAACTTCTAGACCATCTTAATACCATCTTTGTCTTCTGTTATTCTTACGCAGCTCCTCCTTTCTCTCACAGAACATGCATCAAGATTTTCCCCTTGGCTGTAACAACATTTTCTCTGGACACATTGTTTTTTTATTGCATTTACTTTAAAAATTGCCACAATATTCTTACCTTCTCCACAGCAGTGACTTCTCCTTTTTCTCCTTATAGTTAACTCTGAATAAGCCATGTAAGAAACTACTTTCTCTATCAATGTTCCACACCCAATTTTTAATCTTTGGTTGGTTTTTCCCAACTACATGGCACCCTCTCATCCTGCCACTGGCCAGCTGGCAATGTGCTCAGTAAATACAAAATAATACTAATGGTCTAAGGAAAACTGTATTAGGAATTTTTTTCCTCATGTGTACCAAAGTAATACCATCTACTACAATACCAAAAAGAAATGACGTTTGGATAATCAAAACATGATTAATGGGGATGAAATATGCCCATCATTGTTTACTTTACTTACTTTATTATTGATGTTTAAATGTGGCTCTCAGAGTGTCATAGGATTTTCTGACTCAGTGGAATTTTAGGGGCTCAGTTCCCACTTCAAGACTAAGATGCTAGAATCTGTGCTTCTCACCTGATCCTGAATTTTTTAGTTTGGGACACCTTACTCTGAAAGGCAAGGTGGTATAATGGATGGAGAATTGGTCCCAAAGCCAGGAAACCTGGAGTCAAGTCCTGCCCTTGATACTTATTGGCTTTGTGACCCCAAGGAAGTCACTTAACCTTAGTGCTCTAGCCATAGGTTCAAAGTGGGTGATACCACTTCCTTGGGGGTGCTGGAAGGATCCAGGGAGGTGGTAATAGCCTCAGGTACAACTGGGGAGGGGGGCACGTTGAAAGCATTAGAAGATAAGAAAATTTTGAAAAAGCATTCACATGTTTCAACTGTTGTGTAACAGAGTTAAAGTAGTGGTGACTACATTATTTTCCAAATAAACACACAAAGTACAATTTATAATGGATAAGTGGTCAAGTCAGCCAACAGGTCTTAACAAGCAAGTATTGGCAGGTAAGCATGTCTTGCATGGTCAGGAAGTCCATCATGCACAGGCAGGAATACGTAGGTTTAATTACTTGTTTACTAGAAGATACTATATGGTTACATGATACAATATTGTGCCACCGAAATTTCAATGCAGTAACAAACCACAAATTTGCAATAAATTATTAAATTTAAGATGCATCATTTAAAATATATACATTTTGAAATGATGCAAATTTTTAAAAAAAACTGTTAAAGGGTTAAAGAAAGTAGATGGGGGGGCTGAGTAAATTTTTTTTTGAAGGGGGCAGTAGGAGTTTATCCATCTTTTTCCTCACACCAATGAAATTACAGGTCCTGTTCTTATCTCCTCTCACTTCCTTTTGATTCTGGTCCCACAGGCAGGATGTATCTATCCATCAATCAACAGGCATATATACATATCTGGTCACTTCTTGTAGGCTTTCTGGGGACACCCAGTTTTGATCTACTCTGTAGATATCCTAGTCCCACTGTTCTTTCGGTTCTCCCAAAGTTGTCTTAACTTCTCTTTATACCTCAAACATGTAGACAAACTCAGGGTAGGTAGTCTGACACAGTTCCACAGAACAGAAAGTGACTCTGAGAAGTCATTTAGTTCATTCCCCTTGCTTTCATGTAAAGACACCTATAAATCTTTAGAAAGATAGTCCTTGCCCTCAGCCTCAGTTTTCCCACTTATAAATGGGGATAATAATAGTACTGATCTCAGGGTTGTCATGAAGATCAAATGAGACATTGAAGACCTTAAAGCACTATATAGATGGTAGCTATCATCATCTCCATTATTATTTGTCAATACTCAAAAAACTTTTAAAGACTTTACACCTGCTACTGTAGCAGAAAAGCCACTTCTCCTCCCAGGAATGCTGCCCTTCCCCTCCATCTTCAACATTTAATCTATGGTCTTTGTATTGCAGCATACTTCAGTTTCCTCATGTCTGTCCATAGGAAAGGTTGAGAACAGCTGGTTATGACCCTTTATATGAATTACAGTTTTTCTACTTTGTGAAGAATATTGAATTTAGAGTCAGGGCCTTAACTAGCTAGCCACTAACTAGCTGGAAGACCTTGAAAAAAGTTCCCTGACCTCTCTGGAATTCAGTTGCCTCATTTTTAAGACAAAACTTTATTGGCTACAACTATACATGTTTGGTCCAGGGTTCTAGACTATATCCAGGATAAAGGGGGAAGTGGAGAAATTTTTAGAGAACACATTTTCAGGCCAAAAATTGTCACACAAGCAGTTTTAAGACATACATAATTTTATATTTTAACATCTTAGAAGGCAAATAACCCATCTATAAAATAAATTCTCTAAGAATTCCTGTCCATATCACATGAAACCAAGGTTCTGCAAAACACAGCTTGGGAAATGTCTGAATAACTGAGTTTAATGGCTTTTTCTTTAGAAAAAGCCATTAGTTACAATGTTAGAGACTGCATTACATAATTTGCATGAGCACATCCTGGGATATATCTTTAATTGGCCCAGCTTGCCAAGGGCACAGCCAAATGTAAGTGGGCATGAATCACTCGATTTGATTTTAATTTGACACATACTTATTAGGCAAGAATGGATTATCTAAGAAATGGGCACCTTTTAGATGAGTATGTCTTGGTCCCTCCAAATTCTCCCCGTTACACATCTTAAGTTTCACTTGCATCCATGGAGTGACTGACCCTGGTGCCCAGGACACTCCATGAAGAGCTGGAGTGTAACAACAGAAACCAGACTGAGCCTTTAGCCTTTCTTCAGGCTTCAGAATATATGGAAATCTGTTTGTCATGCAGCCAGGTGCAATGCACTGATAAGTATTTGATTCTTCCGTCCTTATGTAAATTCCCCACCCCCCACATTGAAGATGGTAGGCCACTGTAATAGAGAATTATATTATTTGTTTTGAATATAATAGCTCTCCTTGTGGTGTGTCAAAACTGTGATTATTCCAATTTTTTTTTCCAGAAAGAATGAAATGACTTCACTATCTTAAGAAGGCATGGGAGAAGGCCAATATTCCACTTGCAAAATCATTTTATTGGTACAAATATACATATGAATAAAATTCAACTTATAATGTAAGTGAATATCTCTGAAATATGCCCCCAAAAGAGTACTTTTTTTATAGATGTCTAATTATTTCTCTCTCAAATCACACATTAAGAGCTAATATGCAGACAGAACTGAAAACAACCTCCCAAACACCAATATTCATAAAATCTCGATTGCCTCATTCTAATCAACTATATACATTAATCTGAGGATTTAGTAGAGTCAAGGTTTTATTCCATTCTTAGTTGTGCTTGTTAATAGTATGAGAATGTAACCAATTGAGGGTTGTCTTTTTTTTTTTCTGTACAGTTTATCAGGAAGAAAGACATTCTCTCTGGAAGAATGTAAAACCCAGACCCAAGCATCTAATATATATAATTTGTACAAATTATTTATTAGTGTGCTCTGTGACTATAATTACAATGTGCAATTGCATACAGAAGAATATATTTCTTTGTCAGAAACGTGCAGATTTGACGCATTTACATTCAGCAGTACAACACACAACCTGTTGCACAGTGGATTCGTGTGAGATGGTTTCCAGTTACTTTCCTTTGCCTTCCCCAAACCCATAGGCAGGGCCACTCTTGGTAGCTGCTTCAGAGATATTCCAGTAGGGAACATGAGCAGAATGCTGGCTTTTAGTGAAGGCATTTAAGGGAATGTTTGAGAATCAAATGCATCATTAAAAAAAGGAAAGACCAAACTAATGTGCTTTGAATATCATTAAAAAAAATTTGTTTCCTATTCACAAAAAAAAAAGAAAGAAGAGAAAGAAAACCAACTGCACCAACAGAAAACAGTACCTGGGGCTACAAAAGTACCTTGTACAATCAGTCATTTGCAAGGCATACCCCTTTAAACAAAAATAAAGTCTTTCTCTGCCTCTTCTCCAGAATCGCTGGACTTGCTGCCTTGGTAGCCATCTTTGCTGGAGGACCTTGGCCTTTGCTCCTGGTGTTCAGGTGACTGGTGTCCTTGGATCTTCCATGAAACTGCAGCAAATAAGGAAGTAGTTTATACAAAGAGTTTGCTATAGGGGGATGCCAGTGATTTAGCATGGCTAGCCAACTCATGGTAGAAGATGGGGGCACCCAAGCATGAAGAGTCTGAGACAGATTTTATTGGCAACAATTTATCAGTAAAGGGCTTGTTTTCTTTTAAGCCTGAAGATAAGAAAAAAAAGTTCTAAACCCTCCACAAGCTTCCTATTAACAAATGTGTGCATACATTTAAACCGCACATTCATCGCGGTTTTACAAGGCCTCTCTCTTATGTTGAAGCCCCCAGAGAAACCCTTCAGATTCTCTGGGAAGTGTTACCAGAAGGAGAAAAATAACATTTTGGAAGTTGGAGGAAGATGATATTTCTGAAATTGACCTAGTCTTTCTTCTTTTATTAGGCTGAAAGGTTCTTAAAGAAAAAGACTATGTCTTATTGAGTATAGGGGAAGGCTTCAGGAGACATGGCTTTGAAGCCCAGCTCTGACATTTACAAGCTATGTTATTATAGGCAAGTCACTTCATCTCAGAACCTCAATTTCTATATCTGCAAAATGGGAGTAATATAACCTGCACTAACTACCCTGCACAGGTTTTGTGAGGAAAGTGCTTTATAAGTCTTAAAGCACAATACAAACATGACCTATTCTCACTTGTTCATTGTTTCATCACTTTCAGGGCATTGCATACAGTAGGCACTCCATAAATGTTGAATTGAACTGAATATTTCCTAGCAGAGAGAAATGGGTAAAAGTGTCTTAAAAAAGCTTCTGAAAGGATATTCATATCCTATTTTAGATCTATAGCAGATAAGTTAGGACTTATTGTTTCTTTTGGTAGTGGATACTAAATAAAACACAGAGAAGCCTTCTGTGTCTTCATGGCCCTCTTAGCCTTACTGACTGACATTTTTCCAATTACTTGATCTTCCAGTATTACTCTCTAGGGGATGGGACTTATGAGGAATTAATAGATACCAGGAAGTACACTGAACCGTTCTCTATACAGAGGTATTATTGCTATCAGTTCTTGCTCTGGCTACATGGAAAGACAAAGGTCCTGCAAGAGACAAAATAGTCTTTACAAAAACCAAAGGGGAAAAAAGAAAAAGGCACTATGGTTTCCATTGCCTGGGAAAGTGTTTTAAATTCTGTACTACAGTACATGTTATCAAAGGCTATTAAAGGTTATTTACAATGACTGTTATATAGACACCATTCAGCTAAAAAAATAAACATGGGTTTTGTGTGCTTTGAATGAAAAATGGAACTGCCTCATTTAGCTTCAAGTGCTACCCAAAAGTACTGACCATCTCTTTCCAGGAAAACCTTCAAAATGCATTTGAAGCTCTTATTTGGCTGGCCCTGTGAATATTAGGTTCACAAATTCCATTTGGCTATTTAAGTAGTGAACCTAATAAAGAGTGTGCAGGAAGTGAGGGCTCATTAGCCCTAATAGCAGAAGATGCAAACAACAATATTGTGACTTCCTTTGCCAAGGCTGTGGTCATCTCCAGGTTCTAATCTCTAGCCAAGGAAAATTTAAAGTTTTAGTTAATGACATGAAGTAAGACTTGAAGAGTATTTAAGCCCTCTGAGTTTCAAATGGAGGCTACTTTTTAGCTCACAACTTTGATCACAGATTTTGGATCTTTATAAAGAAAAGCTACCCCTCCATTCCTATTCTCCACTTATAAAACAGTATTAAGAAAAAAAAGGATATGATATGTGTCTGAGGATGATCAAAATCATTTGGAAGTTGTTCATAACCCTAATATTATATATTCTTTAAGTTGCTCTTAGATATTAAATCAATATAATGGCAATGTCCAAAGAGAACTTTTAATTTTTTTTTCCCTCTTTTTCTGTTGTGAGGCAATCAGGGTTAAGTGACTTGCCCAGAGTCACACAGCTAGTTAAGTGTCAAGTGTCTGAGGCTGCATTTGAACTCAGGTCCTCCTGACTCCACCACTGGAGCTCTATTCACTGTGCCACCTAGCTACCCTGACAACTTTTAATTTCTTAAGCAGCTAATATAGTAGAGAGAGAATTAGGTCTAATAGCAGAAAACCTGAGTTGAAATCCAAGCTCTGACCCTTCCTCATCTGTAAAATGGGGATACATTACTAACTGTATCATCAAATTCACAAAGTAGAGAATGGGAAGTACTTTGTAAACCTTAAATGCAAAAGACATGCAAGTTCTTCTTCTTCTTATTATTATTATTGTTGAGATCTGGGATGAGTCACTTGATCTTTCTCTAGGTCTCCTTTTTCTTCTATTAAATGACAGGATTGGATTGCACTAGATTATCTCCAGGTACTTTGCACCTCTAAAATACTCCCCTGCTACTTGATGCAGGCAGATGAATATTACTGACCTTCATCTTGAAGACACATTATAAAATCTAGCCATAAGGAAATGCTGTCCCCAGCAGTGTTAGTTATGATTGCTTTATTAAAATTTAAAATACAGAAGGAGGGAGCTGTCTCTCGTGCATCTGTTGTCTCATAATGAACTTTAATTGCAGGATGCAGGGGCAAAACCAGTCTGGTAGAACACCCTTCCGCAGTCCCCTAAACCAGTAGATTGGCTTTATCTTGTTTTACTTTCCATTGTATTTAACTTTTTGGCTTGAGGAAGATTCTTGGATTGAATTCATGTTGTGTAAAATGACCCACACTTATTTTTTTTAAATGATGGAATTCATACAACTAAAAATAAATGAGCCAGAGATTAATAATGGGACACTACCTCCTGAGACAAAAGTACTTATTTTTCTAAACTGCCTCACAGAAGACCCCCTTCAACACACTGATCTCCCTGATAAAAATGAGTTCTGGCTTAAAAATTCTTTGTTATCAATCAACCAACAGGCATTTGTTAAGGGGCTACTATGTAGCAAGCTTGAGGCATACAGATACAAAAGTAAGACTGTCTCTGATTGCATTAAGTTTATATTCTTTTGTTTCCTTTTCCCCTTCATGTTTATTTATTTTATTTTTAAGTTATAGAATAAAACAAGCATTTCCATAACATAGTATAATAAAAAATGATTGCATGTGAAACTGCAAATCTATTATGTACAACTTGCTACTGCTTTTAAAAATATAATAAAGTTATCATGTAATTTACTTTTTTCTTCTCGTCCTCCCTCCCCCCTCCACTAGAGTTGGCTACCATTATTATCATTACCATTATTCCATTATTTTCATTCAAAAAGGGCTGATTTTCTTATTCAGTCAATGACACTACTTTTGGGGGTCCTCCTCTGTTATGGATGGGAAGACAAAAGCCCATTTCCATGTTCTAGGATATAAACTAGGTACTGAGTATAAATGCCAAAATAGAATTTGGTACCAATATATATGCTTCCTAGAGAGTGGCTAGTGTATTAAGTTTTAGACAATTTTATTATATTTTAACATCTATCCTAAGTAGAAGATTTCAGTACTTCAGATTCTTCTATTAATTTTGAAACAGTGATCATTTGGTCAAGACTAGGCTGGTTTACCTTGACATTAGCTATGAAGAAAGGGTTTGCTAGTAACAACTTGTCTATATCACCTTCAGCTTTTTCTATAGCTCCATCTCCTTCTGCTCGTACAACAACTTTGTGAAGCAGGCATAGCAGGTGTTATTATCCCCATTTTACAGGTGGGAAAATGGAGGTAGAGAGAGGGCAAATGATTTATCTGAGATCATATACTCAGGCAGTAGCAGAGCTGGGTCTAGAACCAGGGCTCCTGATTCCTAGGTTAATTCACTATACCAAATTAATATTATAAACAAACTTTAGCATAATGGTTCCTGGGGGAAGATACTGTTTTCAAGCATTTTTAGCAATATCCATTTGCATACATATAATATGCTAATTACAGATGAGTTATGTATTTATTAAAGATCACACAGCAGGCCTGTGGTTAGCATATGGTATTACTAATTATATGTACCTGAAATAAAAATGCCCTATATTAAAACACTTTTTAAAAAATGAATCTAAATTTCATATCTTTCACTAGTTACAGGATGATTTCCACCCAGTCAACCTGACTTAATTTAGTTCTACTTTAAGTTTTTTAAATTCAAATTTTTTTCATTAAACCTCTCTGATAGAAATCCTCCTATATAAGGTTACTGTTCCAGTGGTTTATGAGCTTTATGTGTGCCCCAAGCACAGTGGGAGGGAAAAAAAAGACATTTATAAATAATGGATAAGCAAACTAAGTAACTATGTACTATATTCAACACTTAAATAACCTATCTATATTCAAATCACATCTATACCATCAAAGCCTCAGACAGAGAGGCTCAAAAATGGAACCTTTCATTCTCCAAAATGATTTGATTTTGTATATGTAAGTTGAAGGCCAACTTTTGCACTGTTATAACAGATTTTCACAAGGAACAATAAGATATTTTCCTTGAGTAACCTTAGATCAAACTTTTTCCTTTTCTCTCCACTAAACTGCAATGATATACTAATATCCTAGAAAGCTAAATCTATTATGCCCTAAAAGGAACATTCACCAACTGTCTGTTTGCTCACCTCTTCTAGAATAAGCCAAAGTGACAACAGGCTATTACATTTCTCTTGAGGGTAACATCAGAGGGAAATGGAACTCTGTCCTTGTGAAGGAAATGAAACAGGGCACGGGAAATCCAATGTCAGACCCCAAATAATAGTATTTGTAGAAGGCAACTTTGATTACTGGGATGGGGCAGATGAAAGTTAAAAAAAAAGCCTCAACATCTGATGTCTTTTGCTTTCCCCTTTTCCTCTCCAAAGATCCACTTACAATACAAGAAAAGACAACTATTTTCTATAAAAAATAGCATAACATATAATGAAAAATTATAGCCTACAATTAAGTGGAAAGAGAAAATGATAGGACACACATAAGATGCAGTTGGAAATATTTTCAATAAATGAAGTTAAAATATTCTAGCATACAAATACCTGTCAAATAAACATTAAAATAGCCAGACTCAATTAAAACAGAGGAATAATCATGAGAAAAACAATACGCGGCATTCTTTGAGAACAATAGCTTCTGTATGTTTCATAAACGCTGCTCAAGTTTCAAGGAAATAAGAAAATTGTTTTATGCAAATAAAGCTGCTGAAAGCATTATCTGAGGGACAACCTGCAGCTTAGCTTAAAATACTTGTTAAATGCTGTTCATTAATTGTAAAACTGAACCCCAAAACTCTCTTCTGAAAGCAGAATGCTATTCAGTTCTCAAAGGTTTAGACAGGTGCTAGGAACTGGCACTAACAAATGAAAGTCATTCATGCAGAAATATAATTGCCACTCTTTAAACAAAATCACTACCTTTCTGGTGCTTATAAAATGAAGTATGCTAATGCTTTAAGGCGCCATAACAAGTAAGCTTCCAAAAGGTCAGCTTCCATAAGGTGACCCAATTTCAAATGATCTTAAGCTTCATTACTTCAAAAGATTCCTAATTCATTTGAGTGAATATGAGTACTCTCTTCACCAATTTACTGTATATTGTAACGGCATCATATCTTCCTAGATTGCCTTAATGTGTTGTTCATGGGGCAGGTGAATCAGGTGGTCCACCTCAGTCAATTTTAACTATACTAGACTTGGGGCAAATGATACATAGCCTATGAATAGGCCCATACTTGAAGACTGATACTTGACCTCCAATGGCATAGCCTTAAGATCCCAGAGGCACCTCCATGTCAGAATTAGACAACAACCAATCAGGTAAGCCTTTATTAAATGCCTACTATGTGCCAGGTACAATGCTAGCTCCTAAGGATACAGATAAAAATGAAATGTTACAGAAGGGAATGCATTAGTAGCTGGGGAAGTTCAGGAAAGACCTTGTATAGGAAATGGCACTTAGAAGGAAGCTAGGGCTTCTAAAAGATGGAGGAAAGGAGAGATAGTAGGTGAGGCATATGCAAAAACACAAGAGATAGGCCATGGGATGGCACATTGAGGAGCAGGAAGGAGGTGAGGTTAGCTGGATCAAAGAGTGCATGAAGGGAAATAATATATAATAGGCTTTGAAAGGTAGGCTGGAGGCAAGCTGTCAAGGGCTTTAAATGCCAGAGTAATTTGCATTTAATACAAGAGGCAGCTCCTGTAGTGGTCATGGTCAGACTGTTTGTTGGAAATATCACTTTGGCAGGAAAGTGGAAGGTAGAGTGTGAGGGAGGGTGAGCCTTGAGGCAGGTTGGCCAATTGGGAGGCTACTGCACAAGTCCAGACAGGACAGCCCAAACTACGGTGATGGCTATGTGTGGAGAAGAACTGGGGGTGGAGGGTAGGTGCTGGAGGGGGCAAGGGAATGGAAGGATGCAGAAGACGTGGAGCATCAATCAGTACTGCTTGGTAATTGTCTGGGTACGTGGGTTGGGGGTGTGGGAGAAGGAAGCGTCAAGGATGATCTGGAGGTTGAGACCTTGAGTGACTGGACATTAGTAGAAACTACCCGAGAGAATTTGAATTCTAAAAACGAATTATAAATAAATCGTGATTAAATCAATGAACATACCAAACAGTGCATGATATTTTATAAAGAACATCTTCCCTACTCCAAGTACACTGTTCCCTGATTCTAGTCTAGTCCCATCTTTATGTTCACCATTTCATCTCCCAAACAAAAACATAACTAGGTGACCTCTGGAATGATGTTCTGAATGATGGAAGGGCCACTACTTTTCAGTTTTATAAAGTACCTTGATTCATTCCTTAGAGAAAGAATGCAAGTGAAAGGGTCATAAGTGCATTCATTTCATCACAGACGCTGAACTGTCAAAAATTGTGTCATCCATTTTGTATAAATAGGACCGTAAACAAAGCTAATTCAGGAATTTCAATGCAAATGTCCAAAATTTACTTACATTTTGTACAGATACTGATTCTATAAGTACATTCCACAAATATGATTTTTGCCATTTCAGAAAAGCCCCTTGTTCTTAGATGTCCCTTTGTGACTCTTAGGTGATTTAGAGAGTAAGGTTAAAAATAAAAAGGATCTGGTAGACAGAAAAGTTATAATTATAGTTATCTGTTTTCTCACATAGAAAAGGGCTACCTTTGGACACAGACACTATTAGAATTAGAAGAATTAAGGTTATAAGGCTTGCTTTTTCCTCTTGGAGGGGCAAAGCCTTCTTTAACTTTTGGCTTATTGGATATTTTGAAACTGTGTTTCCAAGGGGAAACCAGTCTTTGATTTTACCTTTATATCCCTGGTAAATAACACGGTACATGTCACATAGATACTTAATAACTAGCACAGTACATGTCACATAGAAGCTTAATAAATGCTTGTTGAATAAACAGTGTTAACAAGTCCATGGTTGAAGTCTCTACTATCATGTGATTATTTCACAGTGATTTTTGGGTCCAGATGGTTTCTCTAACTCCTATCAGATGTCTTATGAATATGTGCCACAGGTCAGCTGGGAGACCAGGCACAGCAGTGGATAAGTTCACTGCAAATCTATCACCATCCTAGAAAAAAAGATCAGAGACATGGTGGTGGGGCAGCAGTCCCACAGGACATCCTGTGAGATGACCAAATTTGAAGTGCCTATTTGTAATGACCAAATGGTCTTTGTAAAGGAAGGCAAACACTCATTTCATTTCATGATCTGGAGCCCTCTGAAGAAAGCTCAAACATGAACAAACATAGGAACATTTGTTTTTCTCTCTTTGTTCTCTAGGAAACTAAAACCTTCTTTAAAAGGGGCAGCCATTAATTTTCCAAGCCATATTTATGAGAAACAGCAACAAGTGAGAAAGGACATTTCCTTTCCCATATCCCAAACTGTGAACAAATGTATTCATCTCCCTCAAAAAGTCATATAATAAAGGACTTCTCTAAACTTTACAATCAGAGACTAAAATCTACATAGAAATCTTTCCTTCCTCTAGCCTTTTGATGACTTTTATTTACACTGAATATTCCAGGACACCATGCAGAAGGAACTTTAAAGAGCAAACAATGTCCCCAAAGAGAGAGAAATCTAATTGGGGTTTCCCCTCCATTTTACTAGTCAAAGAAAAGTCCTATCCAGACTAATATGCATGGCATTACTAGATCTATTACTATTTACTGGGTTTTTGTCATCCCTTTCTTCTAAAGAGCTTATGTTATACCACTATTCTCAAAGTTTACAGTACGCTATGTTATAGTGATAATAGCTAGCATTTATATAGCGCATTAAGAACCCTGGGCAAGTCACTTAACCTCAATTGCAAAAAAAAAAAATATACATATAGCGCATTAAGGTTCACAAAGCACTTTTTGTTGGCTCTTCACAACAACCCGAGGAGGTGGGTGTGATTACTATCCCCATTTTACAGATGAGGAAAGTGAGCCATATGGAAGTTAAGTGACTTGCCCAGAGTCACACAGCTAAGACGCGTCTGAGGTAGGATTTGAAATCAGGGCTTCCTGACTCCAAATGGATTACTCTATCCACTGCACTACCTAGCTGTTGTCTTTGGAAAGAGACCTAGATTTAGAGTCAGAGGAGTCAGGCTCAAAATCTGCCTCTTCTACTTGCTACCTTTGTGAACTTAGACAAGTTACTTTACCTATATAGACCTCAATAAAGTACAAGGGTCTAAAGAGATAATTTCTAAGGTCCCTTACAACTTTAAAACCCTATGGCTCCTGAGACTCAAGCTTAGTTTTATAGTAAGACTCTCTGAACACATCTAAAAAGAAAATTACAGTAAGTGGGGGTCTTTGCAGCTGAAGCACAAAGTACACCTTCATTTGGATAGAGGACATGGTCTACATATGGGAGACAAAGGCTTTGGTGTAAGACTCACTTTTGGAGAGGTCATTACTTGAAGGCAGAGGGAGATGGAAGAACTCCCTCCAGCCCATCTGGTAGCTTCCTATTTTAACTAATTATTCTTATTAACTAGGTACCTTGGCTCTGTTGTTTTCATGAGGCCAGAAGGCTGCAAATGCTGTCAGTGAACTCTAAATTCAATGCCCTTGGCCCTGGCCCAGTCACTTCACAGCTTTGCCAAGAAGAATGAGAGCAGAAAGGAAAAGAGCAAGGAGAATACATTTAAAAATAACAAATACATCTGAAAAGAAGACTGGATGCCAAGCAATAAGTCATTCCTTCCCCACAGTAAAACCCACTACTCTGTGAGCACTCTGGTTGACATTACCAACTTCAGATTTTTTTTTACCACTCTTTTCTAAGCATTGTTTTGGGGGTCATACGTTAAAATGGAAGAAGGCAATGTGTTTCTGTACTAAGGATACTTACTTTTATCTGAATAATTTACCAAACTCACCCCTTGGAATGGAGCACAATGAACTGCCTTGCAGCTAAATGTGAATCTTAGTGCCAGTTCTTAAGCATTGATTCCATGAAAGATGAAAATTGAAGGTTCTAACCATTTGTTGGCTGTGACTTCCTGTGCCCAACTGCATTCACTTCCTCTTCCGCAGTGGTGGAGTACAGTTTTGAAGATCTTTTTCCTCCACTGGTGAACTTGTCATTGTCATGGTCTGAATCTCTTTTGTTATAATCTCCTGTTTGTTCTACTGGGGAAAAGGGATTCATTTTACCCCCTTGTCAAATAAACCCACGTGTGGAAGCTAATGTTAAAAAAAATTTTAAATCATTTTATCCACCCCACTTATCATGATTCAAGGGAAACAGGCCATCTATTCAGATAGTTTCAGTCCTGGGCATATCCGCTGTTATTTACAGAATTCAACAGCCAACATTATGGAAATGTAGTGCAAAATGAGGTGTGCTTTGAGATTGCCCCCAGAAGTTACTTACAAAACAAAACAAAAATCTTATAAAGTGCATCCTATTTCCATTTTGATTCTGCAATGGATAAAAAATAAATAAAACACATTCACTATGGAATAATCAGGAATAATTGCAGTGATTTACCTGTTTCAGAAATTAGTTGGGCATGCTAATCCAAAGGAAAGCACAGAACAAGGAAAACGGAGTAATTGGCATGAAGAAAGCATAAAAAAATTTGAAACAGAATGATTAGGAATTTTTTTCTAATGCAATAGGCAGTGTTTATTCACAAGTAACTCTACTTCCCAGGTAACCCTAGCTGAAAATCTGATAATGAGCATTTGTGAAACCTTTAAATGAAAGTTTCACTACTTTTGATATGCCTACGGTTAAAATCTATTTTTGAACTCCATCTTTTCTCACTGTACTATACTTCAAGCTCAAAGGGCATCTGAATCACTGTGACTTGCCTTTTTTGAAATTCTGACTGGAAAACAGTGAATTGCACAGCTGACCTTCACCACCCCCACCATACAGCCTCAAAAATAAGATTTTATGTACCCCTAAAAAAGGACACCACCTGATCCTAATAGCTGCTGGGAAAAGATCCAAACACCTACTCCAGCTCCCCTGAAATGCATTAGAAGCAATTCACTCTATTTCCCACTTTTCTGGAAAAGAAACAAGAACATTTCAAACTAGGCAAGGCCATGCTCATGGCATCCTTTATTTCATTTATTCAGACATCTGAGGGAGGGTAGCCTCTCCTTTGGTTACTGAGGTTATTTAAAAGATCTTAGTCATTGAAAAAAAAAACCAACTAAACTTCCAACTTTTACTTACTTCAAAGTTTTAATTGTCCTAGAACAAAGGGCCATTTTGCCCCACCTCCTCTGCACCAAGATTTTCCATTTATTTTTTGGAGGTTCTCAAAGTTGGCCACATACAGTTTTAGAGCAAGCAATTATAGAAAGTGGGGAGAAAAAAAGGAAAGAGGAAAGAATTTTTTTTTTCAAAGGAAGAGGAAAAGGTTGTTTGTAAATGCCATTAAGTGGGCAAGGTCATTGTCCCCTTGCCAACACTCTAGGAGTTTCTCTTGCATGGAGTGTGAATTATACTAAATAAAGGGTGCAAATGGCTTACATTGCTCTCTTTGAAGCTCATTAGTCAGATGATTTTTGTCAAAACTCCAGATTTTGATTTTCAGCCAAGTCTTCCTTTTTATGGCCTCTATCCAAAAGAGGCCAGACCCCCCCCCCCCCCCCCAAAATGGCTTAATATTCAGTATGGTTCAGGAAGGCAGAGGTTTTGTGTTATTTTATTTTTTGTTTGTTGTTTGTCTGCCACACCACAGGGATCAGAAGCACTTTCTTACCATTTACTTTATTTTATTTTATTTTATTTTTTTAGGCAATTGGGGTTAAGTGACTTGCCCAGGGTCACACAGCTAGTAAGTGTCAAGTGTTTGGTCAGAGGCTGGACTTGAACTCAGGTCCTCCTGACTTCAGGGCCAGTGCTCTATCCACTGAGCCACCTAGCTGCCCCTTACCATTTACTTTAGCCCAATAATTATTACTGAGTGAGTTGTCAAACCCTAGGAGGTCACAGGAGCTTGAAGAAACTTAACCCTCTTTCACCCACAAAAATTCACTTCTAAGTGAAGACAGAAAGAAGAATGCTCGTACGTAGATCGTGTGATCTCTCTTTGCTTTGACTGATGACATTCAAGCCACCAAGCCACTACACCTTTTACATAATAGCAAATGCATGTAACACTCATGCAAAAAGAGTAGAGTTACTCCCTGAGGGTGTCTGCATAGTTGAATGCTGTGACTTCTGAGAATCAGAAGAGCTTTACTACCATGTCTGGGAAGATGATCTGAAGCAATAAGGAACTCTCAGACCCTGGGTGTGTGCTATCTTATGAACCAAAAGTGTTTGATCTTATCTTGTGAAGGCTTTTCTGATAAATAATGAGGTCCAGAAACCTACAAATGGTTGTTTCAGATTAATTCACTAACATTTGATTATTTACCTAGAGGTCATCCCTGAAGGAGCCTGTGAGGGGGTCTCTAACGCAGAATCCAGTTAATAGCCAGAGATTTTTTTCCTCTAGCTACACTCTAAGTCCAACTTATTCCAACTTATTAATAAAACACATGCTTCTTGGCAAGAACTTGCAAAACCAAGAAATTGTAATATTACCATAAATTGAACTGAGGGAACTTACCACTTAACCAAACCATATGAAATCAGCTTAATTATTGCAGTGTTGATTTCTTTACCCTGATATGTCAAAGAGGAAAAAAACGGAGCAATGTAGACCTAGAGAAGAGCTGATCTTACCTTCTTGGGAAAACGACCTTGCTGTAGGCTGGGGGCTACTTTGGCCATCTCTCTCTTTATCAGAAGGAACTTTCTTTAGAACAGGCGGAAGCAAAGCAACTTTAGGAGAACCAGGGCCAGTTGGAGAATCTGGGACATCCTCTATGGAAATATAAACAGACAAATCAAATTTTTCAACATCTGAGAGCATGAGTCAGGCGACAGAGTGATATGATAAATGACGTAAAAAACAGTGGGTTTTTTTTTTTGGCTTGGGACAAATTTTACATTTCAGCTCAGCATAATAAAACTGGCAAACAATATAGATAAGAATGATACAGATGTGACTCATCCTCAGAGAGGGAACATGACTGGATTTGTAAATTGACCAAGTGTTCCCTTTCGCTCTCAAGTTCAAGAGTGTTTGATTTCTTATATCTAGCATTCACAATCCACTGCCTTCATTTGTTGTCAAATCCAAGGAATGGGGATGCTATATAAATATTATGATCATAAGAGTGACCTGAAAGCAGTGATTTTATCATGCTGTTTTAATGAGAAAAAAAAAGATTGTCTTTGCACACCAACCAGTGAAAGAAAGTAACTCCCTGACTCGTTTTTCTACCTTCTCTATATGCTGGACAACCCAGGGCAACTTTACTAATCCTACTTTCTCACTGTGAGGAATTTTCCAACTTATTTGGAAGACAAATAGAGTAAATCTAGGCTGAAATTTAATGATGTTCAACAGAATTTGCCCTAGGAGATCATAAATGTACCACTTTCCTCCCACCTGTGATTATTTTGGTTCTGCACATTGGGTTTTGGAAGGGATTAATGGGCTATAGCGGCTTAGTAAAATTGACCAAGTTGGCTACTGTATATGAGAGAAATATAGGGAAGAGTAGAAGATTGAAAGCGGGGCTATGGGATGGTAGTACTTTCTAGATTACACAAATGCTGTGTTGCATATTGGTTGGTAAACATACAATTCACTGTGTTAACCGCTACACACACACACACACACACATACACACACGCATGCACGCACACTCATATACATATATACATGTATACATATATATGAATACACACATTCACATATATGTGCATGTAAATTTATTTTTTGCAATACCATACATATTTACTCTGCTTGTTCAGTGGGGTAGAGAGTTCTGCCTGTTTAAGATGTTTGCTTGTTGGGGCATGTGGGAAACAGCGTAGTACGAGGAGAAGAAGGCTAAGATATAGGGGAAAGATAAGGAATAAATCAAATTGGTTTCTACGCAAGTAGGTGGTGTGGGGAACAGAGCACTGAGCCTCGAGTCAGGAAGATCTGAGTTCACCTCTGACCTCAGATACAGACCAGCGGTGTGACCTTGGGCAAGTCACTTAACTTATTTCTGCCCCAGTTTCCTCAAGTACAAAATAGGTGTAATAATAGCACCTATGTTCCAGGGTGTTGTGTGGATCAAATGAGAATATTGTCAGGTATTTAGCAAAGGGCCTGGCACATAGCTGGTGAGTAATAAATGCTTGTTTCCTTCCTCCTAATGTGTCCTAAATTTTCTCTACCATCACAATCTGAAGACACTTCACCTATTCTAGACTGGATGTGGAGTGTTCACTGACCTGAGATTAAGACAAAAATAAATTATTCTCCCTGTTCTTGAATTGCACAGTCACAAATCACAACTTTGTTCCAAGCGTTTGCATGCATGTTATGATGACAGATGGTAGCCATACAAAATGTAAGAAGAACAAGTTTAATGTGAAGCGAGGCTATATACTTTTATGAATTCTCTGTAATTTCCATGGCATCTGATAGGATTCATGTGATTTCTCTTTGTACCCTCACTGGACATATTATCTATGAGTCATATTTAGTCATCACACTTCTAGACAATAAATCAAATTTAAGAGACCAATTCAATTCTCCAAGGTCCCTTCCTGTCTCTGATGCTTACTGCCTGTGTGGCTCACAGATTTAAAGCTGGATGGGACTCAGGAGGCCATCATGTTCAATGTCCTCATTTTACAGATGGAGAAACCGTGGCCTGTAAAAGTTAGGTCGTTTGCCTATAATAAGTGGCAGAACTAGGATCTGACTCCAGGTTCTTGGAAGCCAAATGCTATGTCTTTCACCACTGTACCATGATACCTACTTCTATGATGCACATTTCTCAGAGGTTCCAGTTTCTCCTGCTTATAAGAACCACCAATATCTCCATCATATTTTGATTCACCGGCAAGTGAAGTCTCTTACCAGGACGAGAGGCTGTTCTTGGTTTTTGTGGGACTGTGGGTCGTGCTGCCAAGGCAGGTTTGGGCGACTGAAGAAGGGGTTTGGGACTGGTAGGTGTATTGGAAGAACTCCGAGGTCTTATACCGACTTCCGCCTTGGAGTCTATTTTAGTGTTTTTCTCTGGTGTTATTGCAATGGAGTCCCCTTTATTTGCAGTAAAACGGTTCTCTGGAAGACCTGGATGCAATTTGGGTACTAGAAAGCAAACAGATACATGCTACATAAAATTCCAGAACAACTGGTTGTAGTGGGATAGAGTCAAGAATTTGAAGTCAAGTAATGTTTTCCCAAACACATACACATATTTGTATATACATTTACATATCAAATCTAGAAGTGATATTTTCAACAATTACCGTAAGAAACTTGGTCCATTCAACGCAGCTAATTTGGTGTCATTTTTAATCCTGGATATTATTTTCTATCAGATTCTAAAGCCTGAAAAGCTTTACAAAAAAGCAACTAAGGGGGCAGTTGGGTGGTCCAGAGGATAGAGCTCCAGCCTTGGAATCAGGAAGATCTGAGTTCAAATCTGGCCTCAGACACTTGACACTTACTAGTTGTGTGACCTTGAGCAAGTCACTTAACCCCAACTGCTTCACCAAAAAGCAAAAAAAGCAAAAAGCAACTGACTTCCTGATAGTGCTATTCTACATACATCAATTCACTCAATTAACAGGCTGTTTAATAATTATACAAATTTAAGATTATATTTATTGCACACCATATTTTAAAATCTTTTTTTCCCTTGTTCTATGGTAATAAAATAATTCATGAATACAAAAATTACCATTATGGACAATTATATTATACATTATATTATATATATAATATATATTATATATTATATTATATATTATACTAGTAGTCCTGTTTATGAATCTTGGGATGAATGAAGTAATGGGGGGATGTGGGAGGAATCTTTCAACATACTTTTTGGAAGTCAAGGCCTTTAGATTGAAATAGTCTTTTACAAAAACTCCAATACAGCTGCATCCTAACATTTGCATTGCATTATCACAATAGGATGTAAGCTCTATAAGGGCAGGCACAATTTCATTTTTGCCTTTCTGTCTCTAGTGTCTTGCACAGAAGCTGGCAAACAATAGGTACTTAATGAAATGTTTGATTGATTGATGTAGGAATACTAAGCATCAGCATTATCATAGCAATACTGAATTTCCAGTGTGTATCATATTTGAATGCTTTCCATCTTAGGTATGTTATTGCTCTGTTTAAATAACTCATGACACAGGAATTGAGGAAATGTATTGAAGTAAAATAAAATCTACCTCTCAAAAATCTGGTAAAAAGGTAACGTTCAGAAAGAAATATCATCCCTGCATCAGAGAAGAGGCAAAAAGAGCAAAGCTCATTGGGAAAGATGTATGGTCCTTGGAAGGGTTGGGAGGTTATGAGACCAAAAGAAATTTCCTATGATGCTATAAGATGGAACACAAGCACCCAAAGGCTTATGTCCTGCATTTTTGACCATTAGCACCCGTTCTTTCGTGCCCTTACCACGACAGATAAGGGTAAAGGTTCTTCCTAATAAGAAAAAGAAAGCCTAATTTACCTGCTCCACTCCCATCTGATCGTTCTGTGTTGCTCAAAGCAGTAGCAGAAACATCCTGGGGAGAGGCTTCATTCCCAAGCTTCTAGAAAAATACAAGAATCCCCCATCCCCACCCCAACAGAGTTACTTAGTGAAGTTAAAGATGAAAAAACAAAACAAAACAAAACAAAATCATCTTGTTCAGCAACTTGCCACAGAGCAGAAAACAGATATCCTACAGCATTTTGCCAAATTCCTCTCTGCCCTTTTTGAACATCTCTTAAAAACCTGTCCCACTTTGGCTCTCAAAAGTGCCCTCACAAGGCAATATTCCTGTGAAGACAAAAAAAGTAAGATGTGAAATCTATTTAAAAAAAATTTTTTGGACTTGATATGAAATTTTGTTAGTGTGAGGAAATGCCCTCTCCCAATGCAGATCAGCAACTGTTGTGTAGTTGAGACTCTTAGATTGAACTTGAGGGCACTGAGAAGTTAAATGATTTGCCCAGAGTCAGTTGGTATATATCAGAAGCAGAACTCAAACCCAGATCTTCTTGATTCTGGGACCAAATCTCTTATCTACTACATCACACTATCTCTCATATAGGTTTAGAATATGTGGGGTTTGGGATCCTTGATGTTAACAGTAGTGGGTAAATCTACATACCTTCTACTACCCAAGAGACCTCACATCTGGTGGTGACAGGTGAAACAAGGTGGGATTTGTTGAGGGTGAGGGGGGAAGGAGGGGAATAACATGATGATGGAGCAAAGGCAGTAACCTAAGTGAACTCTCCCAACATTCCCTTCCAAAAAAACTTTAAAATGACGCCTCGACTCAAGTTTTGGAGCAGCAGGGATATATCAGGGATATTTTTCCAGCCTAAAACAACTTAGGAGGTTGGCAAGAGAGGTCTGTGACCCTGGGGTGGGCACTGGCCCAAATCACAAAAGGCAGCAGCAGCAGCACCAGAGGCAGCCTTGGTGGGAGCTGTGACAGTGATGGCAGCAGCTTTGGGAGTTCTCAGTTCAGAGATGGTAATGGGGGTCAGATAATTCATCAGAAAGAAATCACAGGAAACCCTTTGCTGGCATTGGGTAAATCTAGGACAGGTTGGAAACTCTACTACCCATTTGCAGTTCTGGGTCACAATTTCAGGGTGCAGCATAGCACTAGTGATCGCTCACAAGGGGAGCAGGGGACCCGGTCACAGTTCCAAGGCAGACAGGAGCACTAGCATTTGCAGCTACAGGACGGTATAAGGGACATGGTCACAGTTCCAAGGTCAAAAGGCGTACTAGTGCTTGCAGTTGCAGAGGAACAGGGGCCCTTCCTGGGTAAAAGACTGAGTGAAGACCAGAAGAGCAGTGACCATTCCTCTTCCCATATCACACCACCTTGGAAGCACCCAAAACTTGTAAATTCCCAGAATTAGCCCTGAAAACAGCAGCATGAAAAAGCTTGAAGTTTGGGATGGTACTTCTGCACCTCCCGGTGAACAAAGTCCAACTTCAAACATAAACTCAAAGTCAAGAAATGCACTGGGGAAATGAGCAAACAACAAAAATAGAACTTGACCAAAAAAGCTACTAAAGTTTCAGGTAAGACCAAGATACAAACTCAGAAGAAAACTACAATGTGAAAACAGCTACAACCAAAACCTCAAAGAAAAATGCTAATTGGACCCAAGCTCAACAAGTATGCCTGGAAAAGTTAAAGCAAGAGATAAAAGTGGTAGAGGAAAAATTGGGAAAAGAAATGAGAATGAAGCAAGAAAATTATGAAAAGAGAATTAACAGTTTGTCAAAAAGTCACAAAATTTATCTGAAGAAAAGAACTCCTTAAAAAGCCAAATAGACCAAATGGAAAAAAAAGGTTCAAAAATTCACTGAAGAAAAGGTGGGCTTTGTGGCCTCAACAGTATTTCTTGCTAAATCCAGTATTTCTGCACTAGACTCTACTGTGCAGAAAGAATATATAGCTAGAAAAAAAGGCCCTGCTTTCTGGGATCATGTGTTCTGAATGTCCTGGAAGCTCTATAGAGAAAAAGAAAGACATTTCCTCTATTATTTTTGGTTGCAAAAAATTGCTAGACAGAACTTGGATTCTGCTTAAATTTAAGAAAAAAAAACAAAAAGCTTTGCATGTGGAATAGAATTTTTAAATACCAGAGTAGATGGAGAAGAAGTCAAATTTTCTAATTCAATTCCTTTCATGTTACTGGCATTGAATGCTTCTACTTTAAACTGGTTGGGGGGGAGGGTGTAGAGAGAGCAATCACCTTGTAGCTAATAATCCTATGAATCAATCGATCTCCTGGCCAGTGGATTGCACAAAAACAGAAAAAAACCCCACAATTTCTTCCCATCTGCCATGAAGAGTTTTAATTATTGAAAAGATATGACACAAAATTTCTGTATTTTTATAATTATTCTCAATGATCCCATCCAGTAAGATGATCCATAGCCTTACTTAGACACAAAAATGAGAAAGAGAGTTAGGCTAAGAGCAATCCCTGATGCTCACATAGGCTTTGATAAGCTCATCCAAAGATGTCAGCAGGCTCAGCCTTCAAATGGCTCATCCTGACAATGTAAGCATCCTGGAGAAACCCTTCCTAGGACCCTAAAAGGCATATGGTTATTACTAATTCCTAACTCTGAAATCTGTTTGTAAGCAAAAGATTCACTTTTATTTGAAGAGCAAGCTAATTTTCTTTTAAAAATAAGCTGTTTATGATTAATTTATTATATTTATTATCAAACTGCCAATGTCATTGGGTCCCCAAATATAATTGAGGCCAGTCAGATCCAAATGGTATGAATTCCAAGAATATTTGTTCTGCCTCAATGAAAAATCCATGAAAGACTAAAACAGACCCAATTTTAATGGTGATAGGGACTGGGTTTATGATTTCGTTGGTACAGGGAATTCCTGAAGTAAGATATTCCCTAGATTTAGGGTATTTCCAAGAGAACTGAGAGGTTAAGTGATTTACCCAGGGTCACATATCAGAGGCAGGCCTTTATCTATTATGCTGTTTCTCTTAGTGAAGGCTTTATGATATACTTCAGATCGATACCCACAGGAAATTGTACATAGGCACTGCAAAAGGACTAGGCATGTGGTTTAATCCCAGTGGAAGTAGCTCAATAAAAGGAAACGTATTAAAAGCAGTTGAGTGGTATCTTTACATCTTTACATAAACATCTTCAGGGATTATAGTAGTCAATTCTGGGCTTTGCATTTTTAGAAAGGACGTCGGTAAGCTGGATATTATTAAGAGCAGGACAACCAAGATGTTGAAGAGTCTGGCGATCAGCCTATACGAGGATTGTTTGAGGAAAGAGGGATGTTTCATGTGGAAAAGTAAAGACTTAGGGGAACGTGAAAGCTAGCTCTCTTCATGTGTTAGAAGGACTGTCACTTGGAAGAGGGATTAGATATGATCTATGTGGCTTCAGGGGGTATTAAAAGGAATAGTAGGAAGACATTTCAAAGAGGCTGATTTAGGCTTGAAGGAAGGAAGACCTTCCAAACAACCAGAACTTGCTGAAAATAGAATGGGCTGACTCCAGAAGCAGTGGGTCACCACTTAATGAAATTTTTAAGCAGAAACCAGATGAATCCTTGGTTAAGTATGTTGCAGAGAAAGATCTTGTTCAGATGACAGGTTTTCAAATCTGAGTTTTAAGAACTTCCAGGAAGCTATGGAGTAGACAGGAACATAAGTAAGCTAGAACATAATGAGTTTAACTAACCCCTTGGTTCCCAATGCTCATGTCCGAATGTCTTAGGATTATAAATTGTAAGTTTACAAAAGGCACATAGGCAGTTAACATTAAAAAAAAAAGCATATAAACATTGATCTTGGAATGATTATCCACCTTCATATTGTTTTCGTTTCTAGATTTTTCTCCAAAGAATTAAGATTATTAAAATGTTAAGGATTGATTCTTAGAAGAGTGGGGGATAATTCAGTCTTGATAATGATTGTATTTAGCCCTGAATCAAATTAAGTTTTATGATTGCTTATACTTACATTGCACTTTACACAGTTCTACACATATTGTGAACATTAAAACTGGATATGTAACCACTGAGCATCTGGTAATTTGTACCTCAAATCATTAGTTAACTGACAGGTGCTGTTCTCTGCAAAATTTTTTAATGTTTTTAGACATATGTCTTAAGTATGAATAATGCCTAATTAAATATTTATGCAAGTGGAGGATGAAACTTATTTTTTTCATTAGTATATCTAAAAACAGCTTTAAGTTTCCAATGTCTTCAGCTTAAGACAACAACAATAATATTAAGATTTAGAAATAGTTGATTTTAAGTTGTTGGTGAATATGCTAATGTAGATTTCCTTAGTTATTACTAATGTAGATTTTCCTTAATTATGAATAGGTATGGCTTAACATCTGTTCATCCAACTCTTAAATATTAAGTTCTGCAAACACTAGATGGAGCCAAGAGATCATCAGTATGAGCCTTATGCAAACACAAATACCAATTCATATTTATTTTGTAGCTTTAAGGCATTTACACATCAGAAACTATATGAAAACAAAACCAGCATTTGCCATTTTTCCATCCAAAGTGCAGCTGTTCATCATTAGTGGCTGTGATGAAACAGGAGCAGCTTGTGAGTGAAAACAGTAAATGTCTTCTTATCTTAAAGAAATGTATGTGAATAGATGAGAATTCAGGCAGCATCTTGGCTATCTGACCCAGGATACTCATGCATTCAAGGGATTATTTGTTCAGAATTCTGATCGATCTGGAGACACGTGGTATCATTCCTGTTATTGTCTGCAGAATGCACCACCATTTAGGAGACATGGTGATTATTTGAGAGTGACTTTAGTTGAACTATTCACTGAGCTGTACCAGTTTATAATACTAGCTTGAATTTGTATATAACACTTTACAGTTATACAATTATTTCAGTGGTAGAGCTGGGATGCAAACCCAGGTTTTCTGATGATAAGGTCTTTCCACTGCACTACATACTTATTTTATTCTGATATTTTAAGTCAAGTAGAAGGAATTTCTTCTTTGGCAGAAACCAGTCCCTCCTGTGCCCTCAAAAACAAAACAAAACAAAACAAATAAAAAACCCAAAGCTTCAAGTCAGTGACATTGCTAATATAAAATCCAAAACCTCTGACATTGGATTGAGTTATCTCAACTACCAAAAAGGGACTCAATACTTTTAGTAATCAGAGAAAAGGACAGAACATCTCCTTCTCTTCCCACTCCCTAAAAAACATCAAAGAGAAGTGAAATAATTATTGTTTTAACCTAGTTTTTTGGAACACTTAGTACTTGTAGATTTTATTCAGAGATTTTTCTGGTCAACATGGGAATTATGAGAAAAAATTTAAAAGAACAGTAATAATTCAGTGGTCAGGCATTTGATTAATCCCAGTACCAAATTACCTTAACTTCTTTTTTTCTCTTTTTGGTTTTTGAAATCCATGGGAGTACAAAGCAGTTTTTATGTTTAAGACAGAGAGGAAATGTCAAAATGGCTGAAAAGCAGATTTTTACTTTGATATTATAATTGCTTGGTTTCAACCATCTCTTACATTACACTCCATCTCCAATAACCATTAAAGTCCCATCTGAGATCTTCATAAGAAGGCCTGATTGACATCTGTAAGATTCTTTTCCCAGGACTTAAGCATGTCCACAAAGAATAGGATTCTCATATCACAGACAAAACACATTCCCTTGTGAAAATGCCCATATATTACATGCTGCTGATCTATTAAGACCATACCTGTGGACCTTTGGGACTTTTTCAGTTCAGTGCTCCTTCTTTATTTAAAAGAAGTCTGCAATCAAAATCTAGAATAGGCATTAAGGGCCTGCATAGCTCTTTAGTTTATGGATTCATAATTAACGATTATTTCTGTATTTTTCCTCTCCCTTCAGCCTTCTACTGTCAAAAAAAAATCAATCAAGGTGAAAGGGTGTCCTCCTTCCCTTACCTTTTGTGCAGAAGCCGCTCTCCTTTCCTGCTTGGCTTTCATTTCTGCTAGCAGGCCACTACCCATCACCTGAACTCCATACCTTCGCCCTCCCTGGGGGCTGCTCTTGCTGTCACTCCGCTCTAGCTTTCCAATTTCCTCCACTTGATTATCCTCAAGTGAGTCCGGTGTTTTTAACTCTTCCGTTCGCTCTGTGCTTCCGTTCTGTTCTGTGGGCTTTACATCCTTCTTGGATGTGTCCATGGCAGGGCTTTTCACTGCCCCTTTTGGGGATGAAGGCTCTTCTGTGACCAGGACAGTTTGAGGGCGCTCAGATTTGGATCGTGATTTGATTAAATTGAGAAAGCCACTTTTCCGAGAATCCCGTTTTTTCTTTTCATCCCCTCCTCCTTCATTTGACTCATGGGAATCTGAGCCTTTTGTGGAATATCTCCTAGAAATCCAACCCAAGACATTAACTCCGAGTTGCTTTGGCTGGTACAGTAGAACCCCACAAGCACAATACAAAACAATGACACTGAAGCTGTTGGTGACATAGCATCTTTACTGAGGACTTAAAAAGGGGGATTTTGATTGGCACACCCGAAGAATAGGGAGCAGTCAGGATCTTCCATCTTTCAGATTATTAAATTGAAGTACAGATGCATTAAGGGATTAAACCAGCCAAGAAAATTGGTGTCTGAACTGAGCCAATAAGCCATGTGTTTTGGTGCTCATTAAAAAAAACAAATCTGAACTCAAACACTGAATAAGATGAACATTTCCATACGAAAAATAGAACTTTTAGAAAGAAAACTATATGTGAAACTATAAACTTGTATTACATATAGCTTGTTTTCCTTTTAAGTATATAACAAATTAAATATTATTGAATTATATTTAATGAATATTCAAAGCTGTCCTACTTGTCTGTTTCTTACTAACCTTCATTTTGTTGTATTCTCTCAAAAATTTAAATCCTTCACTGACTTTCTTTTTATTTTTATTTTTCCCCCCATTTTGGTATCACTGACTCCTGATTTGACTTGGATCTCCTTGGCTTGAATTTCTCCTCCTTCACCTGGTAATCATCTTTTACATTTTGGAACTCCAAAAAAATCGCAGCTCCTGAACTAGCTCAGCTTCTGGTTTCTGCTCACTTGAATTTCACAGTGTAGTGCGAAGAGCACTGAGAAAATTTAAATATAAATTCCATTTCTGCTAATCAACACATCATTAGCTCCTTTGAGACTCAGTTTACTCATCCGCAATGATAGTTGTTTTATTTGCGGTGGTTGTAAGGAAAGTCTTTGTGAAACATTAAGTACTTCATGTGAAGGGGTGTTATCTTATTTATTATTATTATTACACAGGAAGGGATTTCCCTGCTCCTCATCTGGGAACCCCTTGAGCTCTGGTAATCCCTCTAATCCTATACTAACTCTCGAAGATGACTACAATTAATTGTGATAGAATTGCACCTGCTACAACTCCCATCCTTCCCCTGCCCCCAACAATCTCCAGAAGAGTAGAGACCCAGAGACCTTTCTGAGCTGCAGCATACCTGGAACAAAAACCTATGGAAATGGCGCCATTTAACACTCAGCAGGAAGTCAGCTCTTACCTCAGCTAATCATAAAGTCAGCTGATCTAGCTCCTTACAGCACTAAGAATAATTTCCACATTTTTGCCAAGTGAATCTTAACAGTATCCCCACTCTGGTCTAAGTCATTTATGGACCTGATTCACCATGGGTGTACACTGACTCAGATTTTACTCCTAAAGAGACTAGCCACCCAATAGGGCTACTATTTTCTTCACAAAATCTAGTCTCTATTAAATAATGTAGAAAGGCTCCTTTAAGCTCTCAAGAAGAACTGATAATTTTAATCAAATTCACTAGCTTCAGTAGGGGCATGTAACTAGAAATATGCCAATTCTCTCTGTACCTTAGTTCAGAGATTTAACAGGGCATACTTTTGCCCCAGCAAATAAAATTTTGTAGGGTTTGTTGCAATGCCTATCTAATTAGCCAGAGAAGGCATGGCTGGTGACCTACTTGTGCTAATTTGGTTATGTGTGAGCCTTAAGTTCTGCTTTTATTTATGGCTAAAGTAATGGCAGACCATCCAGCCTTCATTAAGCCCACTTGCTAGCAAGAACAATGGGGGAGGGGTGGTGTGAGTGAGAAAGAAATCTATGAGTTGCTATGACTGATTCAGATATGGAATTCTACCATGGCCATACATGGATTGGACTGCCTGACCCTTTGGGTAAGAAGATAGTGAGACCTCCATTTTCACTCATTCCCATACCTGAACATTCCTCATATCCCCTCCCACAGTATTTGTGAACCTTGAGATCTCACTGCCAAATTCTCAGCAGAATATAAGCTCTTTGAGAACATGAACTACTTTTTAATTTGTCTTTGCATCCCTAGTATGTAGTGCAGTTATTTTGTACAGTACATCTAGTGACTCAGCCTCTAACTTGATATACTTGGATCTACACAAGCACTTTGTTGTGGAGAATGACATACACATCATCACCATGGGTGCTGCACCCTCAAGGCTGTAGGACTGTCCTTTATGCCCCAGCCCTTTGTATACTTCTCCCATTAGCTCACTAAGGAAGAGCTACGTGATCAAGGAAGAACTGGCTAATAGTCAAAGTTGTAGGCAAAGAGGCATCATCTTAAGGGGGCAAAGTACCATTAACTGCCCCTGAGAATGGACAATACTCTTTACCTGAAATAATGCTAGATCCAACATTCATGATTTTTCTATTGCCTCTCTGCTCAGACATAGCAACTTACAGACAGATGCGCTGTTACAAAGGCCTAAATATGGACACCTGATGGAACATTTAACCTTGACTATATATTTGCAGCCATTAATCCTCAGTCCAACCTATTAAGAGTCTAACTTTCAGCAACAGGTATGGGATATCTATATGTTTCCTTCTCTTTAAGAGTTGTATTTTGGGGGAGGAAGAACTCTACCTCCAATCACACCTATTTGTCCCCCCAACAAGGCTCAATGATCAGTGCTCCATCTTTCCCGTAATAACTCAGTGGTGAGCCACTGGCCCAAGCCCTTCCAACACAGCACCTAAGTCTTAGGGAAGCCACAGCTTAACTCTGACAGTTATCTGAAGTAGGTGAGGGAGCATCCTTGAGCTATGTGTCAAGAAAAAACTTCCTAACAATTAGAGCTGTCCAAAAATGGAATGGGCAGCCTTGAGAGATAGGGTTTCCCCTCCTTGGTAGTTTTTAAGCAGAGGCTAAATGACGTTGGGGATTCCCTTTGGCCATAGTTTTGATTAGATGGCCATAGATTTTCAACTCTAAAAGTCAGTGATTCTGTGATCTTTCAACAGTATACCCCACCTTCATGTAAAATGTAGACATGCACACTAACTTAACACTAGAAGAGTATATCTGGTACTAACAACTCCTCGCATTATGACATATAACAGCAACATTTTATTATAATTATTCAGTCCACTCTTTGACCCAGAATGGGAAATATGACTTCTACCTTGGGCTTTTTGCTATACTCATTTTTTTTTTGGATAACTACAGCTCCTGTAGACAAGGAGGGTAGTTGGAAGCTATACAAGCTAAATGACAATACATCCTATAAGCAGGTAAAGTGACATACAAACACAAGGTCAACTGTCATTGCCCTTCCAGGAATAGTACCTATATGTCTTTATCCATGGCTGGGTCATGTAACTATAAAGTTACATGTAACTATAAAGTTATATAAAGATACACTGGTGAGGGGTGGGGAAAACATGGAACCTTTGAGCAAAGAGGATTTGATGTGGGTATCTTCCTAAAACTTCAGAAACCAGAAAACCTTAGAAACTGGAGGAAAGGGTGGTAGGCTCCTTATTTATTTATTTATTTTTTAATACAAGTCTTAAGGCCTATTAGCTGAAGTTTTCCTTCTTACACTAAATTCACACTGGGTTCTGCTAGTCTTTGTTATAATGACTTCACCTTGGCTAAAATCTATGGCTTACAAATTCCTCCCCACCATAATTATGGAGGGACAGGGAGAATACATAGTTCAGAATATCCTTGACTCATTAAAATGAAAGGATCCACATTAGTTTCTAGTGTACTGACTAGAGTACAGTCTTATGAAGAGAACATGAAAAGCTACCATATACTATGAATGGCCTGGCACCAAGACAGTCCTTCTAGTAACACTGTTCCAACAAAACCGTCCATCAGGGTCTAGGGAGTTGTGTGGTTTGGAGGAATGGGCCTGAGTTCTTGGCCTTACTAATGCAGCTAAATCAAGAAGGGGTATGGTGGAGATAGCCCATGTTCATATTGACACATTAGTGGAGACTGGTGGTGGGGAACACATACAGCCAGCCAAAAAAAGGTAAAGATATTGATAGACTTAGGTCTTCTCAGCAATGTAAGGATCTAAGACATCTCCAAAAGTCTCATGATGGAAAATGCTATCCATATCCAGAGAAAGAACTATGGAATTTGAATGCAGATCGAAGCATACTATTTGCTCTTTTTTTTCCTTTTGTTTTGTTTCGTTTCCTCTTTCTTGTGGTTCCTTCTACTGGTTCTAATTCTTCCTTACAACATGACTAATGTGAAAATATGTTTAACAGGAATGTATATGTATAGCCTATATCAGATTGTGTGCCATCTTGGGGAGGGAGGTGGAGAGGGAGAGGGAGAAGAATTTAAAACTCAAAAGCTTATGGAAATGATCGTTGATAAATCAAAATAAATTATTTAATAAAAAAAAAAGTAAAGATACAGAAGGACAAGTCAGAAAAAGTCACCTTGATGACCCTCTCCTGATGATGTATTGGAGATTTGGTTATACTTAGGTACTCTGGACAAACTGAGGTATTCCCCCCCACCCCCAAGTCTTTGGTTTATATCTCCTTGAATCCTGATTTATAAATTGATTCCTCTTTTCCTAGCAGATAAGTCTCCTCCTTCCCTGGTACTGGTGAATGCTGAATTTACAAGTATACATTGGCTCCTTTGGGACAAAAGTCAATTCTCTCAAGGCAGCAGTCAGGAATACCACTTAAAAGAGGAAAAGGTCACTCTTGGGGACTTTGAGGGTGCAGAAGACATACTTTGCCTACTTCAGAGCCCCCCCCCCCCCCAGGGCCAGATCTATTTTAAGTATCAAACTGAAAATATCCCATTCTGCATAAAATAATTTAATGAATAATCATTTGGTTAGAAGTTCAATTCCATCATCATTTGGTAATTATTAAGTATACACTCAAGCTGTGTGTCATGTACTGTATTTCCATGGATAAATGCAATAATAGGATCTTCCTGAAATAGTCTGATTACGTAGAAGACATATTTTTACTTTGTTTAATGCATTTATAAATCTTTTACTCAGAGACTATTGGAGGAGATAAAAGTAGAAAAGACAGCACAAAAACCATCATCCAGAGCATAAGGTCAGAAACATCCCTATTAAAGATAATGACATCATTTTACAGAAATGCAAATTCCCATTGAGAGTCAAAACTATATGGATAAAGGCCCATGTTGTCCAGACTGCTACAAAAGAGAAAATCTCTTGTTGGAAAAGCATGATTCTAAGTCATGGTGATACAAAATGCTAATGATCATAGTACTACTAGAGTTTATTAGGGCACTACTGTGCTCTACTATGCATATGGAAATATGATGTTTCTACATCAACCTCTTAGTGAGGTCTGGGCACAACCACTTATACAATGGGCACACACCCCTTTTCATTCATATTCTCCAGCTTAAATTTCATTTCTGAATTTGAAGCCCCAATGATAAAGAATGCATCATAATAAAAAAAGGTTAACAGTATGACTTGGTGAGTGTGTATGTACACATGTCCGCATATTTGCATGGGCAGGCTATCAAACAAATCCATATTCATTTAAATCTATATCAAATAACTTGGTACAAATTATGCTTGAAGACTATTTCGTTTCAAGCTATTATTGTTAATTAAGTAGCTGTACTATTAACTTACCTAAGAAAAAAAAACAAACCTGCCTCAATCATATGAAAATTTGTGGCTAGCTTTGACACTGTGTCATTAATCTTGCTGCCTGTTTGAAAATGTTTATTAGAGTCATGAAATTGCACGGACCTTAGGATCCTCAACACATCCGGCTGTGGGCAAGTGACAATTTGGGTTAAAAATAAACCTATCACCTTCAGCCCCCCGCTGATTTTTATTAAAAACTGCTGAGTCAGCCATCTAATACAGTACTTTATCATTGATGTGAAGAATCCTTGAAGGTGTTCCTCTCAATCTGTAAGTAGTCATCTCTAAGAAAAATCTGTATAACTCTCTCCTCTGCCCCCCCTCTTTGCCCCTTAAAAAAAATCTATCTCAATTCAACTCAACATTGACTAAATGCTTATCATGCACAAGGCATTTAGGTAGGCTTTGGGTAACAGCTACTGCTTTCTAAAACTAAAGATTTGTGTTCCTAGTTCTGAATCCTCTGCTCATTCAACACTTGAAAATATCAGGTTCAATATCCTGTGCAAACGTTAACCTCTTGCTTTGAATACATAAATTCTACTGCCGCCATGAGGTAAGAGCTCCAAGCTTTCCTGTCCTCACTCACTCTCATCCTCCAATTTCCCTCACCCCAGAGTCAATATAACCAGGCAAAAGTTTTCAAATGTGGAGATATCCAGATCTCATTCTGGAGGTTTGCTGCTCAGTCTAATGAATTCCTTGCATATGGTGAGAAAGACTTGTAAAAAAAAAAATATGCTGATAAATTCTGTAGGCTAGGTAGGTTATTCCAAGCTACTGTCAAACATTGGTGAAGAAATTAACATATTTTAATTTGCCTTTTGTAATATATCAAATTTAACTATAATTATCAGTAATTAAAGTCATCCTTGATAAGTGCAATTTTTAAAAACTGCTATAAACTCACTTGGAATCCATTTTAGTTACTTTCTTGGTAAAAAATTCATCTACACCTTCATCCACTCTTCCCATAAGGCCATTTTGTTCTCCATCATGAGGGGCAGGGGTAGCAGCACATACCTGAAAAAAGAAAAATGGCTTCTTGTGAAACACTTTCATTAGCTCAAGCCATACAGGTGACAGACAGACCATGATAAAACCAAGTGCCAAGTTCACTCTTCATACAGAAAACCCACATACCAAATTCTGCTCACTCTTAACTTCATTGGGGCCAGTGATAATGTGCTATGTGACAATATGTCACACAGATAAGCTGAGGGTCGTAAGGGAAATATGTGCTTCTTAGTTGTGTTGGGCACAAAGACGAATGGTCAAATGTTATTAATATCTGGCAAAATGTTATGAATATCAATTATACATGAAGAGCAGAGGGAAAATTGCCTCACTTTTTTTTTTTTGGGTGGTGAGTTTTGCACTCATTGGCTAACAGTTCTTGAAGTGCAGAGAAGCAACTTTGCTCAATCAAAAGCAATGCTATTGAGCAAGATGGACCCAATTGAGGTAAGATAGGATAAATTTGTAATGGCTCAATCAGAATGTTTTCATGACCTCCTCTAGCAGCACTCAGCAGCTTGGGAATAGAAGGGGGAAAGGCAAATGGTAGGGAAAAGCTGAGGGAGGATCACTAGGGCATGAACAGAGGAGAGACAGATCTTTTAAGAATGAAGGATGGTGACTTACTCAATTGGTTAACTATTTAGTCAAGAACATGAAGTGATCCTCAGAATAATGATGCTATAGACTGGCATATAGGGAGATATTGAAAAACCAGAGTTTGATGTAAGAACAAAACAGGAGGTTCAGAGGATTGAGATAGTTCTCAATTCTTAAATAAGATAATATTTGTAAAGCATTTAGCACAATGCCTGGCACATAGTAGGTTCTTAATAAATACTTATTTCCTTTCCTATTTCCAATGTAATTCAGTTCCATTAAGCAAACATTTGGTAACTCTCTAGATGAAATAGGCCCTGATCTCAAGGAGCTTTCATTCAATTGGGGAAATAGCACATGTACACAGATAAAACACATAATTTGAGGAGGGAATGCATTAACAAATGGAAAGGAGATCTTTGAACATAAGGATTCTTAATGCAGAATTGAGGAGAGATTACATTTTAGGGATGGTGATAGCTTGTATAAATTCACAGGAAGTAGGAGATAGAATTCAGGGAATAACTGGCATTACAGCTTGGCTAAAACAGAAAGTATGAATGGGAATAATGTGAGATAAGACTGTAAAGGTAAAGTTAGATCCAGGACATGGGGAAGCTTAAATGCTTGGCTGAAGAATGAGTATTTTACCCTAAAGGCGATGGGAAATGACTGAAGGCTTTTGGACATGAGAATGACATGGTCATAATTGTGCCTTGGAAAGATAATTTTGGCAGTTTATTGGAGAATAGAGCAAAGAACCTGGAAGTCAGTAATTCAATTTGGAGCCTTTTATAGTAAATAAGGCGATGAGAGGCTGAACTGAAGTTATTATTATGTGAGTAGAGAGAAGGGAAGGTATTTGAGAGACACTATGGAAGTAGAACTAATGAGATTGAATATGTAGGTTGATTGGAGATGAAAACACCAATGACAACTGAGGCTGTGAACATGGGTGATAGGTAGGATATTAGCATCTTCAAAAAAAACATAGAAACTTAGAGCAAAGGCAGGAGGAAAGTAAAAGGTTCTGTTTTAAACACGTTTAGATCCTTTCGGGACATCGGATGTCCCAAGGTGATGTTTAGCAGGAAGTGGGTGATGCAGGACTACTACACAAGAAGGAAGGCAGAGCTAGGCATGTCTATTTGGGAGTAACCTGCACAGACACAGTAACTGAACTCAACAGGAGAGATGAGGCAGTCAACTGTGATCAGAAAGGGGAATTCCAGCCAATGTCACAAGGTCTCTGAGAATATTTCCAAAGTGCTCTTGAACCAAGAAACTGCCACAGTTTACTTCAGAACAGAACAACAGAATCAACTATACAGAACCTATATTCTGCAGTCTAATTACCAATCTTTCTGTGGGCCAAGGATTTAAGTGCAGGGATACTTAAGTCATTTTATGAACAAATTAGAGTTTTAATAGTCCTTGAGAGGGAGGGAGACAAAGAGAATCATCCGGAAGCATACTATAATGTCGGTTATTGTTTTTTCACCATGAGTGATAACAGCTCACTTCACATTATCTTTTAAAAAAATAAACTGCAAGTGTCCTCCAAAAAGATGCATTCAAATGAATCAAACGAACTTTAAAAAAGCATTTTTTTTTTAGCTGTGCCAGTGACATTCAGGTTAAGATGGGAAGGGGTAAGGTAGATTGAAGAACCTGCCAATTATCAGCTATCTTCAAGTGGATTATGTTCTACATTAATAACCTGAAGTGACACAGGGTCTTTTCCACTTCTAAGCCAAGAGTTCTAAACTTTTTTTGGTCATAGATTCTTTTAGCAGTCTGGTGAAGACCATGCATAAAATGTATACTATTACAAAGGAAAACAATGACATTGAAATAGTTGCCAAAATACATATTTTTAGATAAGTTCATGGACCCTAGATTAAGAATCCCTTCAATGGAGAGCAACAAAAGCAGATCCAGACTAAGACAGTCATGGTTGGATATGAAAAGGGAAGTGGGATTTTTGCATATATGTATATCTTTTCTGATTTTACAAAGTGAAACATAAATGACTTCTTCTTTAATATTTAGCAAATCTTTTCACTCCTAAACATCAAAGGGCAACTCTAGACATGGTTTTTGTGTCTCCAGAGATTTAAACTGTTCTCAGGCACTCTATCTTGGCTCTAAACTGCAGTAAGTTTTATACCCCTCAGTTTTTAAAACGTGTTTGGAAGCACTAATGTATGTTCATTAATTTGCTGTGGATCTAGCCTTTGGCCATTACTTCTCTATCCTACCTAAACCCTACATTTTAACTCTTTGTGAAATATCTTGTTCATATCACATTCCAGAGGTGAAAAAAGAGATGGTACCTCACCAGTTACCCAGAGGAACTTACCGCTGTTTGGGTAGGTTGCTGTTTTTTATTCCGTTTTGGCCTTAACTTGGTGAAATGCTCCAGTTTCCTCCCTTCCTCAGATGGCAGCTCTGAGATGAATCCAGAAGCCCTCTTCTCCTGTCTGATGGACGGGAAAGGTGGGTCCTCTATGTGAATTGGAACTTCTTCTAGTGCCTTATCAAGATCAAACTCCATTTCTTAAAGGAAGCAACAAAAGAGTGAACATCACATATGACAATGCCTAAAGACCAACTGGGTGGTACAAGGGATAGAGTGCTAGGCCTGGAGTCAGAAAGACTTATCTTTCTGAGTTCAAATCTGACCTCAGGCATTTACTCTCTGTGTGACCCTGGGCAAGTCACTTAGTCCCATTTGCCTCAGTTCCTTATCTGTAAAATGAGCTGGAAAAGGAAATGCAAACCACTCTGGTATCTTTGCCAAAAAACCCCAAATGGGGTCAAAAAGAGTCAGACATGACTGAAACAACTGAATGACAACAAAGAAATGAAGTACTTTTGATTCACTTCCATTACATTCAGCAAGTATTTATTAAGCACCAACTGTATTCAATGCACTTGGTAGGTATTATTTGTTGATAATAGAAGTGGCAATGACAGCTAAAATCTTGTTTTTTATTATCAGGCAAATCACTTTGCCCCTCTTTTGTTCCTCAATATTCTTCATCTATAAAACAGGTACATATAAGAAGAGCCATGAGGAAGAAAATATTTCTATTTAAGAGTTAGTTTAAGTAGCTTGGGTATAAGGGATGGATAAACAGGAAGTAAGTATCAAAAATATGGATGTATTAACTTACCAAAGGCCCTGGAAACAGGTCGGAGCATTCGACTATGGATACTTTTCCTTTTAGATTTAGGAGTCATCTAGCAACCAAAGAAAAAAGCAATTAGTAATCACAGAAAAGTTACCCCACCATCTTTAGAAATATTTACTGGTAAGTTTTAGTTGAACTAGAAAGTTTACTTGTTTCATCTGAGAATGGTTGAGTAACTTTGCTTCAACTGAAAGAAGAGTAGCAATTTCTCAAATTTCTCCAATTTTCTCCCCAACTTCGGATTATAGTGCACAACTATATTCGTGCTAATATTTCACAACTAAAACTGAAGTCTTTTATGATATCCTTGCAAATAATACCTATCAGTGAGATGCATCCTTTTGATTCCAAGCTATGGACAAGACTATCATAATGCATAATATGCACAAGATTAAAGACAACAGAAATCAATTCCTAGGAATTCAAGACAAAGACATTTACTAACAGTTTATCATAGGAGCAAATGAATAAATTCAGCTTAATCACAGGATCATGTACTATGAACTAAAAAGTACCTCAGAGATCATGTAATTTAACTCCCTCATTATTCAGGTGAGGAAACTGAGTAGCTTTAAGTAAAAAGCTAACCTTTCTCAATTCTGCCTTGATTTCTTTTTTGCATTTCTCTTCATTTTTCTTTAGTCATAATATAATATAAATGAAACTCTTCTAGAATTATATAGCTTATACATGCTGTCATGCTCAGTATACTGCCATAATTCCTGGTCCTTTTATCACAGACCATAAAAACAAGACCCCTTTTTCTACAAGCAATTTTCTCTTTAACTGATAAATTTTAGCACTAGGTTCTTAATACACTGGTAACTCTTCGTCATAAAGGGCTATCTAGTCAGTCTGACCAAAAGAGTAGGAGAGGACAAACTGATGAATCTCTCTAAGGCTAGAAAAGGGTGAGTTGTTCTTCATCATCATCATCATCATCATCATCATCATCATCATCATCATCATCATTGTCAGTCGGATATAGAATCATTAAATTTTAAAACTGGAAGAAACCTCTGAGACCATCATCAATACCTCTCATTTTATAGATGAAGAAATTGGGACCTATTAAATGATCTCCCCAAGATCACAAAGCTAAGTAATAGAGAGAGAACTAGAAATGAGATCTCCAGGGGCAGGTAGGTGGCACAGTGGATAGAGCGTTGAGCTTGGAGTCAGGAGGAAAAGGACATATACATATAAAAATATTTATAACAGCTCTTTTTGTGGTGGCAAAGAATTGGAAATTGAGAGGATGCCCATCAATTGGGGATTGGCTGAGCAAGTTGTGGTATATGAATGTGATGGAATACTATTGTGCTAAAAGAAATGATGAACAGGCTGACTTCAGAAAAACCTGGAAAGACTTGTATGGTCTGATGCTGAGTGAAGTGAGCAGAACCAAGAGAATATTGTACTCAATAACAGAAATGCTGTGTGATGATTAATATTGATAAACTTAACCCTTCCCTGTAATACAAGGATCTAAGACATCCCCAGAGGCCTTGTGATGGAAAATGTTATCCACATCCAAAGAAAGAACTATGGAAGTTGAATTGCTATTTTTTTTTTCTCTTCTGTTGAGTTTTGTTTCCTCTTTCTGATGGTTCCTCCTATTGGTTTTAATTTTTACTTACAGCATCACTAATGTGAAAATATGTTTAATATGAATGCAAATGTATAGCCTATATCAGATTGTGCGCTGTCTTGGGGAGAGTAGTGGGGAGGAAGGGGGAGAAAAACTTTAAACTCAAAAGCATATGGAAGTGATTAGTGATAAATCAAAATAAATTAATAAAAAATTATCAAAAAAAACTAATTTATTTTGATTTATCAACAATCCCTTCCATAAGCTTTTGAGATTCAGATTTTTCTTCCCCTCTCTCCCCAAGACGGTACACAATCTGATATAAGCTCTATATATACATTCCTATTGAACATATTTTCACACTAGTCATGTTGTAAAGAAGAATTAGAACCAATAAGAGGAACCACAAGAAAGAGGAAACAAAACTGAAGGGAAAAAAAAGAGCAAATAGTATGCTTCGATCTGCATTCAAACTCCATAGTTCTTTTTTCGGATGTGGATAGCATTTGCCATCATGAGACTTTTGGAGATGTCTTAGATCCCTGCATTACTGAGAAGGGCTAAGTCTATCAAAGTTAGTCATTGCACAACATGGCTGTTACTGTGTACAGGTTCTGCTCACTTCACTCAGCATCAGTCCATACAAGTCTTTCCAGGTTTTTCTGAAGTCTGTCTGCTCATCATTTCTGTAACATTCCATTACATTCATATACCATAATTGTTCAGCCATACCCCAATTGATGGGCATCCTCTCAATTTTCAATTCTTTGCCACCACAAAAAAGCTGCTATAAATATTTTTGTACATGTGGGTCCTTTCCCCATTTATATTATCTCTTTGGGATATAACCCTAGAAGTGCTATTGCTGGGTCAAAGGGTATGCACATTTTTATAGCCCTTTGGGCATAGTTCCAAATTGCTCTCCAAAATGGCTGGATCATTTCACAACTCCACCAACAATGCATTAGTGTTCCAATTTTCCCACATCTTCTCCAACATTTATCATTTCCTTGTTTTATCATATTGACCAATCTGATAGGTGTGATGTGGTACCTCAGAGTTGTTTTGATTTACACTTCTCTAATCAACAGTGATTTAGAGCATTTTTTCATATGACTATGAATGGTTTTAATTTCTTCATCTGAGAACTGCCTGTTCATATCCTTTGACCATTTATCAATTGGGGAATGACTTGTATTCTTATAAATTTGGCTTAGTTCTCAATATATTTTAGAAATGAGGCCCTTTTCAGAGACACTGATTGTAAAAATTCTTTCCTAGTTTTCTGCTTCCCTCCATCTTGGTTGCATTAGTTTTGTGCAAAAACTTTTCAGTTTAATGTAATCAAAATTATCCATTTTGCATTTCATAATGTTCTCTATCTCCTGTTTGGTCAGGAATTCTTCTGTTCTCTATAAATCTAACAGGTAAGCTATTCCTTGCTCTCCTAGTTTGCTCATAATATCAGCCTTTATATCTAAATCATGAACCCATTTTGACTTTATTTTGGTATATTGTGTGAGATTTTGGTCTATGCCCAGTTTCTGCCATATTCTTTTCCAGTTTTCCCAGCAGTTTTTGTTAAACAGTGAGTTCTTATCCCAGAAGCTGGGGTCTCTGGGTTTATCAAACAGTAGATTACTATAGTCATTGACTACTGTGTCTTGCATAACCTAACCTATTCCATTGATCCACCACTCTATTTCTTGGCCAGTACCAAGTAGTTTTGATGATTGCTGTTTTATAATACCACCTTCCCCTGCATTTCTTTTCATTAGTTCCCTTGATATTCTGAACCTTTTGTTACTCCAAATGAATCTTGTTATTATTTTTTCCAGCTTTATAAAATAATCAAGACCTTATTTTAATACAGCCCACCTCACAGTTTGCTAATCAATCAGAGTCGATTGGCACTCCTTGGGAACACCTACTCTTTGAAAGGCAGAACTCTGTACCCCTAAATCCCAAATCGAGCCAAATCTGGACTGGCCCCCTTAGGTGGCCTGGTTCTGGACTGTAACTCCCATGCAATGCATGTCAAGCCAGTTTGAGAGAAATTAAAGAGTGGACACATGCATGCTAATTTCATTTGTCTCTTTCTTACAACAGACTATTTATAAATTGGAGCTCGACATGAACTTACCACAGAAAGAAATAACTTAAGAATCATGAGGCTTCATTTACTTGTTATGAAGTTATGCATATAGACAGTTCTCCTACTTAAATGGACCTCTGGTAAAGCAATTTTTACATAACATGAATTTGGCCCTACCCACTTCACTTAGCCTCTATAATGAAGGCATACACAAAATAATACCTTTACACAAGTCATAACATGTATCAAAGTGCAGACATATTATATATTGTACCATGATAATAAACAGAATTATGAAATGAAAGGTAAAGTTAATAATAAAGTATGCATAATACTAGACAGTAAAGTGACTAGAGATGTGCAGTATGTTGTACCTTCCCTATCCACCACACCTAGCTTTTATCACAGGTTGGTTGGCTGTGCAACATGTTTTATGAAGCTATCAAGGGATATTTGGACAGTGGCTCTCTTTTTCTCCTTGTATATCTGACAACAGCAAGCAATATTATGGTCAACTAGTCTTTGAACTTTAAAAAAATCTTTTAGTATTTGGATCACTGAAATGATGAAATGCTTCTGCCAACCATTTTGTCATGAATCTTCTTGTTTCCACCTCAGGTTCTGAAGCTTCCCTTTCTTCTTCTGCAGTCTTTGAAGCTAGCAGCTCAATTAGATCCTCACCAGGAGACTTAATAGACTCCTCCAAGTAATTCTCATCCACTTCTAGTTCCCATTCTTGTACTAATTTTACAATCTTGTTACTTCTTCAAAAGTTTTATCTTAGCCAAATCCACCAGGATTGAGCTATAGGTACACTTTTCCCTAAACTCTCTTCATACATGTTTCTGTTACATCTTCCATGCCTTAGCAATATTCTACATTGCATGGTAAATATTATAGAACTTCCAGAAATCTCACAAAGTCAAGTTCTTATCTGCATCAAAAGCTGCAATTGCCTGAACAAATGTAGTGTGTAACTATTATGCCTTGAAAAAATTTGCAATCACTATCAGATCCATAGGTTGTAATAATGAGATAGTATTATATTTTCATTAAAATCATTCTGATGGGGGAGAGTGACCTGGGGCATTCTTGATAAAATAGGTCAGTTTTCTCTAGATTAAAGATTTGGTCTGTCAAGTAGTGACCTTCATTTATTACTTTTTTTTTGCAGGAATTCTGGGAACTTTTTTGCCGTTTCAATATTTGCACCACAAGCCTCTCCAGACACTTGTACAACATGAAATCCCACAGGATTTTTAAATTATGCAAATCAATCACTGCTTGCTTTAAGTATCTGAGGTTCCTTCAGGGTACTTCACCTTTAAATCTACTTTGCAAAAGGAAATCTGGTAATTTTTCT